TAGATCAGTGGTTCTCAACCTTGGCTGCACATTAGAATCACCTGGGAGTCTTTTTAAAATCCTGATTTCTGGGCCTCATCCTCCGGAAATTCTGTTTCTTTGTTACTAATGTTGTGGCCCCACCCCATAACAAAGAAACAGAATTTCCGGAGGATGAGGCCCAGAAATCAGGATTTTAAAAAGATTCCCAGGTGATTCTAATGTGCAGCCAAGGTTGAGAACCACTGGTCTAGATCACGTGTGCACACATCAGTGTTTGCATTCGGGGCCTCTGAGACTGTCCCTGTTAAAATATTCTGACAACTCTCAGATCTCTTTCCTGGGTTCTGGAACAGTGCATCCAACTGACATTTCAACGTCTCTACCTGGTTATCCCATAAACAACTCTCACCATGTCCCAGACTGAACTCTTCTGTCAACTTCCTCTGCCCTTGCTCCTGTGGTCTCTCCCTCATCAGTCATCCAGACTATAACCTTGGGACTCATCCTTGAGTCCTCTCTCCCTGTGCTCTGCTTGCAAGCACAGCCTTACCATCTCTGGTTTCTATCTGTTCTCTCCATCCCAACTACTACTGTCTTATTTCAGACATGTGCCATCCCTTAGATCAGGGGTCCTCAAACTTTTTAAACAGGGGGCCAGTTCACTGTCCCTCAGACCATTGGAGGGCCGGACTATAGTTTAAAAAAAAACTATGAACAAATTCCTATGCACACTGCACATATCTTATTTTGAAGTAAAAAAACAAAACGGGAACAAATACAATATTTGTATTTGCATGTGCCCCGCGAGCCGTAGTTTGAGGACCCCTGTACTAAATAATGATTGGGTTACCAGTGAGATCAAAGAAGAAATTAAAAACACCCTGGAAACTAATGACAATAAAAGCACAACAATCCAAAATCTATGGGACACAATGAAAACAGTCCTGAGAGGCAGCGCTCAACCACTGAGCCACACCGGCCGGTACTGACTTCTCTTCTTGAATTTACCTCACAGTTGTAGGCTTGTGCGTCACTGACATCACTGTCCTTTTAGAGGAGGGGTCCTCAAACTTTTTAAACAGGGGGCCAGTTCACTGTTGTCCCTCAGATTGGAGGGCCGGACTATAGTTTAAAAAAAAACTATGAACAAATTCCTATGCACACTGCACATATCTTATTTTGAAGTAAAAAAACAAAATGGGAACAAATACAATATTTGTATTTGCATGTGGCCCACGGGCCGTAGTTAGAGGACCCCTGCCTTAGATGGATCTCCACAGCAGGCTGATCCATCTGACCCCTCTCCCTCCAATCAATCTGTCCTCTTTTCAGCTGTGATAAAACAACACAACAAAGCACATGGTTGCTTCCCAGAGCTACGTATTCCGTCTTTGGCTATGTCAGATGGCTAAAAGTTTTCTTCGTACCGGTGACACATTTTCCTACAGATTTCAATGACTGGTAGTTGTTCTGCACTTTGGGGCCCCACTGCACCTCAGCAGACTGAAGGACACTCTCACAAAGCCCCAAGTCTTCTCTTCACCAGGCTGAGCAGACTCCTGGTTTAAACCACAGCCTTTAAATGAGAAGGGGCTGAATGATTTTGTGGGAGGGAAAGCTAAGGCCAGGAAAGGGGCAGGGATGGTGTCTGTCTCACACCCACTGTCACTCTAGTGTTGAGTAGGGAATCTGGCACAGGGAAGCTACTCCATAGATAGATATGAAATGGATGGATTTGTGTAAGGGAGTGCCTTGCCTACGGTCACAGAGAATTGGTAACAGAAGAGGATTTAGATCCAATTCTCACAATTCCTTTTTGAGGTTGCTAGATCTCAGGCAAATTAGTGAGCCTCTTGTGGCTTCTGTTTCCTTCTCTATAAGATGAAGAATAACCGTCCTATTTCATAGGATTATTATGAGGATAAACTGAGCATGTGAAGCATTTAGCACAGTCCCTGGCACATGAAAGGACTAAATAAATGGTAGCCATTATTATTATCTCACACAGCAACTGAGGTGGGTGTGGAGGTCCAGGTGTTTGCTTATGTTAAGGGGAAGAAAATCTAGGCTAAATATATCCTTTAGGCAATTTACCTAAGAAGTGAGTTGAATGTGTTATTGCACTGCATCGAGGTTTTTACAGAATAAACTGGTAACACTTATCTATTTGCTACCCTGTGCAGGACGGAATTGGTGGTGGGTGTCACAAAGGAGCTGACAATGAACATCAGCCTAACTAACTCTGGGGAAGATTCCTACATGACAAACATGGCTTTGACTTACCCCAGAAACTTACAGTTTAAGAGGATACAAAAGGTAACTATGACAGCAGTTTGGGAGACATGCCACTCGTGGCTTTTCCTCCCTGCATACTCTCTTTTTCTATGGCAACCTCCAAACTGCCTCCAGCTTCATCTTGGTCCATTCAACAAATGATTTAAATCAACTGGAGTGGCTCAGTGGTTGAGTGTCAACCTATGAACCAGGAGGTCATGGTTCGATTCCCGGTCAGGGCACATGCCCGGGTTGTGGGCTTGATCCCCAGTAGGGGGTGTGCAGGAGGCAGCGGATCAATGATTCTCTTTCATCATTGATGTTTCACTCTCCCTCTCCCTTCCTCTTGGAAATCAATACAAATATATTAAAAAATAAATTAACTGGATGAAGCCCCTCCAACCAACTACATGCCATGGATCCAGTCATGCCATTCTGTCTCACAAACCTTCAATGGTGCCATTTGCCGCACAATCACTCCTCCCTGCCGCAGCCTTTCCCTAACCCAGGTTCTGAGAGAGAAGTGATCTCTAATAACTTAGCTGGGACTAAAATGTAAAGTCTGCCCCGCCATTCATCAGCCTGGGATTGCAGACAGGAAACCAGCTGCAAGATACTAGGAAATGGTATTTTTCCCAAGGACACCCTGCAGCTATAAAGTATCATAACATTGAGCAACTGTGTTCTCTAAAGTCTTTGGAAATCAGAAACTTTGCTTTTTGAAGTTGTATCTGTAATTATGAAACCACCTCACGCTTGCCTGGAGAATCTAAGTCACTTTGACAAAGAGAAGCAGCCTATATCCTCCTGAGGTACAGAGCTGCACGTATAGCATTTCTGGACAAAACTCTTCACATCCATCCGAATAGTTCCCAGGGACATGGGTCCCTGGGTCCACTCCGCAGTGCAGACCTGATGTTGAGTGACCCTTTTACACACAGCCCTGCTTTATTTTTAACCTATCAAAACACTGCTCCATTGACATCTCACCTCACCACCACCCTTCCCCGGAGCCCTTCAGTAACTGTCTTTTCCTTTGTTTGGTAAGACACACCAGTGAAGTTTTCCTCTATAATGAATCAATAAACTCGGCTTTGTCAGACTACGGTCTGTCCCTGAAGGTCTTAGGCTATTTGGCCTAAGACAGCATCCATTATATGGAAAGAATGAAATGATCTCCTGACCATCCAGAATGGAACTGGTGATGCACCCTCCTTGGAGAATTAAGAAAATAGTAGTTAAAAAAGAAAAAAAGCAGATGCTCAAATTATTCTCTGTATTCAGTGGTCCCGATAAGGAACCATGATTGAAAAAGGCAGCGTGGTGGTGCTGGGGCTCATGCTAGCCTTCTAGTCCATCTTAGTTATGTTAAACTTACATTGGCCCGAGGCCCAATTCAAATGTCTCCTTCCCTAGGAAGACTTTCATTCATCCAAGTTGAAATTCATCTTCCTCTACTGCTGTTCTCTGTACCTCTCACAGAACCACTCCTTAGGCCTTGTATTTAAATTCCTCAACCATCTACCACTGAGCCCTCCTGCCCAGCTTGCGAGGAAGACAGGGACCAAGTCTGATTTGTGTCCTCAGCTCTGGGCAAGGTGTCTTGAATGTGAAAAAAAATGAGGAAATGATGCTAAATTGGTGTGAGAAAACTGCTTTTTCTTTTTTACCTTTTAAGAACAGTGTTTTCTGTGTTAACAGCCTCCTTCCCCAAATATTCAGTGTGATGACCCTAAGCCAGCTGCTTCTGTCCAGGTCATGAAGTGCAAGATTGGTCACCCCATACTCAGGAGGGCATCTGTGAGTGTTTTGATTGGCTGACTTGTCTCACTACCCCGGAGTTGGTGTCTTCTACTTTCCTGTCCCATTGGAATCTCAGTTGTGGTCCCATGCTTCCCTTCACTGTACAGTCAATCCATAGCTGTGCTTAGAACTGCCAAGTCGGCTCTGAAAGTAGGGAGAGGTGGGTGGGGGAATACAGCCAGACAAATTGTTGGCTCACTACAGAGTGAAATAGCACGTAGTATGGAAGGGTCATCAGACCCAAAGTTATTAGTCCTGAGGCGAGTCCCTGACGTGCCACGGAGGATCTTTGTGCTGTGAGAATCTCTGAAATGTTTGCTCAGTTGTAAAGGGGAATAAGAAGGTGACATGGAATAACAAATGTGGAAGCCTATGATACAAAAATGTGAGCAATATAAACTATTTCCCAGGTCTGTCTCGTTAGTAGGAAGTAGTTTGAATTGTGAGTGGTATAGAGAAGTGACTTTTTTTTCTCTCTCTTTTTTTCAAAATAGGCAAACTTTTCAGTAGTTTGGCAGCTAGAGGAGAGTGCCTTCCCAAACAGGACAGCTGACATCACTGTGACAATCACAAAGTAAGTAGTGTCTGTGCCACAGCAGACCCAGGCTACGGCCCTGGAAGAAATCTTCCTCCCACGTGCCCGAGAAGGGGACTTCAGTGAGCCCAGAGAAGGCACCTGTGTCCCCATGGTTATCAAATATTTTTAAACATTCTTTTATTGATACACAAAGTAAAACTCCGGTATAGTGTGGAAAAATGAGCCTTGGACTGGAGTTCTAATTCTGGTTCATTTAATTTTGGGGAAGCTTTCATCTGCAAAACCTCTATGTTTGGGGGTAGGATGGGATATGGTGTTGGGGAAGGGTTCTCAAATAAAGGTGATACTGTCCCTCAGGGGCAATTCCTGGAGATATATATTTAAAAAATATACTTTTATTGATTTCAGAGAGGAAGAGAGAGGGAGAGAGAGACATCAATGATGAGAGAGAATCATTGATTGGCTGCCTCCTGCACACCCCACACTGGGGATCGAGTCTGCAGCAACCCGGGCATGTGCCCTGACCAGGAATTGAACTGTGACGTCCTGGCTCATAGGTCGACGCCCAACAACTGAGCCATGCCGGCAGGGCTACGTGAAGATATTTTTGATTGACACGACATGGGGGGGTCCTACTGGCATCTAGTGGGTAGAGACCAGGGATGCTGCTAAACATCTTACAATATACAGGACAGCCTCTCACAGTGGATTATCTGGCCCAAAATGTTAATATTGTTGAGGTTGAGAAACCCTTCTAAATCAATTTCGCCAAGCCTGGACTTCTAGCAACTCTTCTGCACTCTGCTTATTTCCAAGAGTCTTTTCTTATCTGACCCCTGACGACCCTGGGAAGCCAAGGTATAGAAGCGGCCATATGTACAAAGCAGGTGTGCTGTGCACTGACACTCTTATTTCTTAGTGCCAATGGAAGAAGCTCTTTGGTCAGAGAGACCCACAGACTTCACTTCAAGCATGCCTTCATTGCAGTTCTTCCCAAGTAAGCACCTCCAAGGGGCCAACACCTAGGGGACAGTTTGGAGCATTCTCTCTTGTGGGTGGAACTGGTGGGCAGGCTGGATATGGGGACTGCCTTTCTTTGAGAAGAGGCTGCTTAAAACTCAGGCTCCCATCGATCTCTAGGACACTAACAGTGGTTCCTAGAAGCCCATGGTAGTATTCAAAGTAGTATTGTCAACTGGTCTTGCTACAAAAGGGTCCTGACATGATGCTAAGAAGGGAAGAAGAGAGGGGTTATGGGATTGAAAAGGAAGGAAGGAGAAAAGTAAGGCCACTCTGAAGAATGATAATTAGATAAAGAACCAGCCCAAATATATACTATTCAAATATTCTGCCCGCTCCCAACTGCCCTACCACCAATTTACATGTTAATATTTAGCTTTGATTCCTCTTAAGGATCTGGTGCTAATGTACCCAACTAGTAGCATTCAGCTTCACTTAAAACAAGGGGGCCCTGAGGCTAACACATGTCCTCTCAATTGCAGACCAGCAGTGATGTACATGAACACAAGCCAGGGGCTTTCTGATCACAAAGAATTCTCCTTCAATGTAAGTGCTTAGTACTTATTATTGCAAAGCTACAAGTGGCAAAGCAACACCAACTCTGACTTCCTACTCTTTGCAGATCCATGGGGAAAACTTCTTTGGAGCCGAATTCCAGCTGCAAATCTGTGTTCCAATTAAAATACAAGGGCTCCGGCTTATAAGAGTGAAGAACCTGACAAAGACACAGGTACTTAGAGGCGGTTCTTGACTCTATCACAATTGCATCTCTTTTCAGAGTGACTACAGATTCTTAAAGGTATAAAAACTAGAGTTCTAGAAAAAGAGTAAAAACAAGATTAGTTGACCTGAGAACACATTAGGAGTAAATTATCAAAGTCATGTTCAGAAGGATTATCAACCACCCACCTCTTAAAGCAATATGTGTTTACTTCCCTTGATAAAAAATAAGCAAAAACTCAAAACTTTTTTAGTAGCCATGGAGACATTTATTTTCCTGTTGGAAATTGTTAAATTCTACTTCTCTGTGACTGGCAAATGAGCTTGATAAATATATGGCATTTCTTGAACGTCTCCTATAAACTGTCTTACCATCTTCCCTTTCTCTCTCCCTCCAATCTGTCTGTCTTGGTCTCTGCTTTGCTACAGCCTCTTTGCCCTCGGTTGACTCCTGAGCTGTAGAATGGTTCCCAAAGCCAGCCTGCCAATACCTATAGGCTCTGATTAGTATGACAGCTGAGACCTTGAGCTTTCCTGAATTTTTTTTCCCTCTTAGGCTACATAAAGTGTCAAGGCTCAAAAATGAAAAAATGGAGAGAAACCTACAGAATAGACTCTGCTGACAGAAAGAGGGCTTAAAAGTTGTAAACACTGGTTCTCACATGTAGTTCATTTTTAAAGAATGTTTGCTGTTTAAAGATTTCCACAAACATTTCAGTTTCCACTTGGAAACAAAATTCTTGTTTGAAAAGCTGATTAGAATAGGAATTTCACCCTCCCCTGGGGATAGAGATCGAAAACAACACTGCGGGCTTTCGAGGCTAGTGGTCTCTCTCCCTTTGGGGCGGTAAGGCACCTTTGACTTACTTAAATAGACTGTGTTGGCAGAGCAGGTCAGTGGCAGAGCTGAAGTTCAGCATTGTCCCATGGAAATGTATGATGTCTTTCTTTATTTGCTTCAAGGCAGGGGTGTTACATTTCCTCTTGAAGACCATTTCCTTCAGAATCTTATCTGTGAGGTAATGTAGCCAGAGCACATTACTGTAAGGGTGATATTCACCCCAGCAGTTGTTGTTCTCCTTCTTCATTAGCCTGTAGATCTCAAACTGGTAGTCACCTTCACCTGTAAAAAGGTCCTCATCCATGGAAATGTCACAGAAAACCACGACCCCATCCCGCTCCAAGCGCGACAGGGTGTAGTCAATGATGTTGACTTGCAGCCCACAGGTGGGGATAGTACCTGTCTTCCCGCTGAGGGTGTAGTGGACTTCCTTGAGGCTGGTTTTCTTTAACAGCACATTCCCCCAGTGTAAGTCTCGGTGCTCAAAGTGCAGCGATGCCTCTGCAACGGCAAGGGATGCGGTGAGCTGGTGCAGAATGCTCTTTGCAGTAGCTATGGAGGACAACGTCTTTCTCCTTTGCTCTAAGTCAATTCCTCCAAATTCAAATTCAAGCACAATGAAGAGCTGGTCTTGGTCGAAAAAGTCAGGCCGGTCATTTGCAGACCCTTTGGTTGAGTTATAGTGATCCCAGGCTTTGAGGAGCAAGGGAGGGTAAGGTCCACGAACACAGTGCACTGAATTCAGCCCAATAAAGCCGTCTGTGCGGTGGCATGCAGCATCAGACAGGAGGCTCAACTCTTTGGAGATGATGATCTCGGGGAGGATTTCCTCAAAAGTTTTCTGATGGGCTCCATTGACTAAATCCAGTCCTTCAATGGCAATGATTTTTAGGGCTACTGGTGTACAATTAGCAATTATTTGAAACACTTCCCCAAACACTCCTTCCCCAATCTTCTCACAGCTTTCCAGTTCCTCCGTGGAAAGGCAAGAGCTAAAGGGGATAGGACCCTCCTGGTCGCATTCCCTATAAACCTTTTCAGCATCAGATGCCTTTTGGTCTGCGACATGCAGTGTCTTTAAGGGGGTGAGCAAATACATGGAAGAGGAGTGCCAAGGGGACGGGGCACTGCTTGTTGTTTTGTTCAGGACAGGAGGGTTTGAATATTCGGACACGAAGGACCCCGGGGGAGAACTGGTAGTAGCGTTGTTGCTCACTTCTGACACAGCGGTCACGACCTTTTTCTTATGGAAACCGAAGGAAGCCCTGGCTTTGGTCCAAGAGCAGTCATTCTGTAATGGAGTCAGGTCCTGGGTAAGGAGTGAATCTTTGCCCATCCTGTGGCCCTTTTTAAACTGGTCGTGATGGAGGAGGGAGGTTTCTACTGCCTCCCGATGTTTCCTTTTCTGGCCTGGCCCAGTTCTCTCAGGCCTGTTGGTTTTCCCGGGTCCTTTGCAGCTCTTGCAACCACTGGCCTCCCCACATTCTGTCGGAACAGCCCATTGAGCCCCAGTCTCTCGACAAGAGTCCTTGTCTGTGGCCCTCTTCCTCCGCCTGCTTGACAAAGCTGGGCTCTCCAGCCTCTTCCCCATCAGTTCCCTTGCACAGCGGGACTCCCTCATATCCTTCCCACCTGTCCCAAACTCAGAATCCTCAGGGTTCCCCGAGTCCGTAAGGCTAAAGAGAGCTGACGTGAGGCTGGCACGAGCTTGGCGGGCCAAGCTGGTGAACCCGCCTCCTCCTGTTGCTGCCTCCTGGGAGCAGGAATGAGGTGCTTGGTCCGGAGAGGTGGCATCCAGAGAGGTAGAGGGGCCGGTACCTATGACACTGTCCCCCGGCGCTGGGGACCCGGGGCCGGGGCCGGGAGAGGCTGGGGAGCTAAACAGGGAGGCACTGGTGCCCAG